CCCCTCCTCAGCTGCATGCAGGGGAGCTAACCCCTCCTCAGCTGCATGCAGGGGTTAGCAGGGGAGCTAACCCCTCCTCAGCTGACCCTCCTCAGGTGGGACCAGGTTAGAAAAGTAATAGGAAACACCATAGCAACTGGAGCTGCTGCCAGCTTTTTGAGAGCTCTTCCTTGATTGGCCCTTATTTGCACGCTAACCTTATTTGCATGCTAATCAGGGCCCAGGGCCCATAGTTTCTGATGTTCTGGGGCTGCAAGAACAGAAGCTTGAGAGCTGGGTAGAGGAAGAGGAGGACTGGCTCGCATGGCCGAACTTCGCCCTGCACAGAGCGCTGACTGAAGCCTTCTGGATGCGCATGCGCTGCTGCTGCTCTCTGTGACCTGCAGGCTTGCTCTGCAAGAGACTGTTCCTGGCTGGCGCCAATGCCCTCTAAGAGCCTTCCAGCTGTGGCACGTACAGTCACTTGGTTGGCACCCAGACGCCTGCTGAGGGCTTACAGGTGGCATACTACCAACTGCTCTCTGTGGGCATCCTGTTGCCGGGTCTCGGGGATCTTACTTTCTCATTCATATTGTTATTCCCTCGTGGCAAATGCTGCCCTTAGTTTTTCTTTTTCTTTTTTTTTTTTTTTTAAAGATTTATTTATTTATTATGTATACAGCATATGTGACTGCCGACCAGAAGAGGGCACCAGATCTCATTACAGATGGTTGTGAGCCACCATGTGGTTGCTGGGAATTGAACTCAGGACCTCTGGAAAGAGCAGTCAGTGCTCTTAACCTCTGAGCCATCTCTCCAGCCCCTTGCCCTTAGTTTTTCTTTGCTGTCTTCCCCGCAGGGAAAGTGACGAGAGCAGGGAGGAGAGAGTCTGTTCCTTTGAGAAGGAGAAAGTCTGCACCAGAGTGACATTAACATTCCAACCACAGCTGTCACAGCAGACAGCTGGCAGCAAGCCCCGCCCCGCTGCTGGAAAGGCGTTCTCACCCGAGAAATCGATTTGATTTGCTCCTGGCTTACAGGACCCAAAGCAAACGCCCATGTTTATGATCAGTTGAATCTCAACAAAATGCTGCAAAACCACTCTTCAGAGCATTTTTTTCTTTCAACAAGAAATGATCCTGGGGCAACTTGGTATCCACGCGTGAAAAAACAAGTGTGGGTGACTACTAAACACCACCAATAAAATTCACTCAAAATCCAGCATTAAAGTTTGAGATGAGACGCACAAATTCTAAGAAAAGGACATGGGCATACGTCATCGTGGCAAACTTGGTGTTAGGACATGAAAGCATAATGTGCCAGTGTACTTCAGAGACACTGCTATGGAGTGCAAGGGCAAGCTGGTTAGAAGAATACTGGAACATTCGTGTGCCTGATAAAGAACTCATGTCCAAGATCTACAAAGGACTACAAATACCGGTGAGAAGTGAATCCAATTGAAAACTGGAGAAACAATCTAGATAGACCTTCTCTAAAGAGGTAGCTAATGGCCACTAGGCCCACATAGACCCCTGTGCGCCACACATCAGGGGATTACAGATGGAAACTCCTGGGACCTACCCACCACTTCACGGAAACTTGGTTTAGTTAAAAAGATGAAAGAAGCCAGTGTGGTGGGTGGGCCACACCTTTAATCCCAGCCGGGCAGGGGCAGGGGCAGGGGCAGGGGCAGGGGCAGGGGCAGGGGCAGGGGCAGGCGGGGGCAGGGCAGGTGGGTTTCTGCAAGTTTGAGGTCAGCCAGGGCTACATAGTGAGTCCCTGTCTCAAAACAAACAAAAATAAAAAGATGGAGTGAGTGTTGGCAATGAAGTGGAGAAGCCGTGGTGCCTCTTCAGGACTTGTGGCCCGAAGACTGCAGCCACAGGAGAAGGCACACCCTGGTGGCTCCTCAGAAGGGCAAGTATACAGCTATCACGTGACTCAGCCAGCCAAGAGAAATGAAGCCATTTCATGCAGGACTCGGGCCTGCACTGACAGAGCACTGTCAGCAATCCAAGTTCAAAGTAGACCACCCAGAGGTCCATCGATCGGGGTGAGCGTATAAACAAAACGTTCGGCTTACCCACGTAACAGGACACCAATCGGCAATGAGAGGAAATGAAGACCTTACAAGGTGTTCGAACAGGGTGAACAATGAAAGTATGCCCAACAGAAGGAGCCAGACACAAAGGCAGACAGAGTGCGGACTGTGTCTCTCCACACCAACTGTTCAGACAGACGAACCTGACAGCCGTTAAGTGTACGGGGTTCCTTAAGTCTCGGCATGAAAGAGCATGCCGAGGGCAGATTTGGATGATAAAAATACTAAGAAATTGAGATGATATTTGTGGATCTGTGAATACAAAGTGTTACTAAATTGTAATGTGTACTTCAACTGACTGGCTTTCACAGCCTGTCCACCACAGCCCGAATGTGCTGCTAGCTAACAGAACCGGCAGGGTGCTGAGGATTTTGACACTGTAATGGCCGACTGTTAAGTCATCCGCCAGCATTAAGAGGAGCTGAGGGATGGCTCAGTAGTCAAGAGCCCTTGCTGCTGTCCAGGAGACCTGAGTTTGGTACCAAGTATCCACACGGTGGCTCACAACCATCTGTAACTCCAGTTCTGGGGCGTCCAATGTCCTTTTCTGGCTTCTGAGGGCACTAGTCATGCATGGTATACATACACATGCAGGCAAAGCACTCATACACATGAAATAAAAGAAATAAGTCTAAATAAATAAGAGGAAGGTTTAAAGAGAATCAGCACAATTCACTTTTAATAGAAAACATAGACATTTTCATTGATTGCAAGTCAATTTTTTTTGACTCTTTGTTTTACTGGCCAGTAAACAAAAATATATAGTTATATTTACCCAAAGCAAGAGCTATTGAAACTTACAGATTATTGAAATTACCTCATGCCTTAGTGTAGTAATTGGAATGTGCATATCAAATTGGCTGTTTTTTAAATCTCCAGGACCACTAAGCTCTTGGTCTTCATGCTTATTTAACTTCTTTTTTGTCTCCTCAAAGAGCTTCTTAAATCTGTGAAAATGTACAGAATCGGCATACAAATGTCTTCAGCATCAATATTTAATAATTTAAGCAGATAATATGCAATATCATCAAAGGAACAAAACTGTAAGTTATGAATGTCTCATTTGTCTCAACCTAAAATGAATTGAAAGTATTCTAATGAAATTATAATCTTTAAATACATTTTTTTGTGTGTGAATGTTTTGTCTACATGTATGTATGTATGTGCACCACATGCATGCCTCATGTTCACAGAGGCCAAAAGAGAGCGTCAAATCTTCAGGACGGGAGTTACAGACAGCTGTGAGCCACCATGTGGGTGCTGGGAATTAACCCAGGTCCTCTGCAAGAGCAGCTAGTGCTCTCACCCCTGAGCCATCTCTCCAGCCTGGAATTACAATCTTTATTTTTTTATTTTCGAAATTAAAATAGAATTACATAATTTTTCTCCTTTCCTCCCTCCAACCCTTACCATGCACCCCTCTTTCTCTCTCAACTCCAAGGCTTCTGTTTCTTTAATTGTTGTTACATATATGTAGTTCTAAATGTATAAATGCAACCTGTCAATCCATACAATGTTACTTGTATGTATACAATTTCAGGGCTGACCACTTGGTTCTGGAAAACCAGCTGGAGGGCTCTTCCCGCTTGGGGGGGGGGGGCACCAGACGACATGACACTGTTTCTTCCTCTCTCAGTGTTTCTTAGTTGCCTGCAGTTCTTTGTCTGGAGTTGAGGCCCCAGGAGATTTCCCCCTTCCATGTTAGTGTGTCTGCTGGTGTCATTCTTGTTCAGTTCATGTGGATGAGGTTTCATGGTTGCAGCTTCTTGACGTTTCTAGGGGACACAGTCTCAGAGCAAACCATGTTTTTTGTCTCTTGCATCCGTCCCACCCTTCTGCTCTCATCCTTGAGTCTTAGGTGGGAGCTGTGTTGAGATGCATCAGCTGGAACTGGGCTCCACACAATCACTTGCTCTTTGCATTTTGATCAATTGTGATTTTTTTTTTGTAGTTTTCTCTGTTTATTGCAAAGAGATATTTCTTTGAAGAGGTGTGAGAGCTACACTTATGTGTGGATATATGAAGAAATATTTAGAATGTAGTTAGAAGTGACATGGGTTTAGTAAAGTAGTGGTTGTAGGTTTCCACAATAGGAACTCACTTTCAACCTCTGGCAAATATCCAGGGGCAACATCAATGGCCTATACTGTCTTTGGAGTCTCTTGGATAACTCTGACCAACAACTCAAAATCGGGCTTCCCATGTCTGGTGTTGGGATTTTTGTTACATAGTCAATGGCTCTTGGGTAAATTGTAGACTTAATAAATAATATGAAAAAAAATTTTATGACATTTATATCACACAAGGAACAAGTATTAGACCCACATTCAGATGTTTTGTAATTATTATTATCCATTTTAGCATGCGACACTGACAAATTTTTTTTTTTTTTTGGTTTTTCGAGACAGGGTTTCTCTGCGTAGCTTTACGCCTTTCCTGGAGCTCACTTGGTAGTCCAGGCTGGCCTCGAACTCACAAAGATCTGCCTGGCTCTGCCTCCCGAGTGCTGGGATTAAAGGCGTGCGCCACCACCGCCCGGCGATACTGACAAATTATTAAAGGTTAGCTGTAACTCAGAGATTAGTAACTGGGGTGAGGCAGGAAAACATACTTACACATGAATGTCACCGAAAGATGCAGATAGGCCTTGGTCCTTGTTTACTGGATTGGGTCCAGAAGAAGACGAGGACGTGCGTGCAGAGAGCACTCAGGGAGCACTCAGGGAGCTCAAGCACAGTGGTAGAGTGAGTGCTCACTTACCATACTTACCAATAACCGCTCAGTAGTGCTCTGTGCGGTACCCACAGATTTGTCAAAGACCTGCATTTTTCTTCCTATTTTAAGTTTCATTCCATTATGATCCCAAAAGAATCAACAAATCCTTTTTTTTTTTTTTTTTTTTGGTATTTATTAAGATTTTCTTTTTTGGCCTAAAATGTTATTTATCTTTAGGAATGTGATGTGGGCTTCTAGAAAGTGTATTCCGTAGTTGTTAGTTGGAACCCTCTGTAGGAGTCTGGTAAGCCCATTTTGATCTATCCTTTGATTTAGCACTGCAGGTTTTAGGTTTATTTAAAATCCCGAGTCTGGACATTACATGTCTATTTACAAGTGCAATGCATTCTTGGAAGAATATCCCATTTGTTAATTCACAGGGGCCTTCACCGTATCTTTAAGTTTTGTCTTAAATACTACTCAATCAGATGTGCACTTAGGTATTCCTAATTGTTTTCAGCTTCCGTTTACCTGCTGTATCTCCCCGTCCTTTCTCTCGGTGTGTGTATTTGACGGCACTGTGTTTCTTCCAGATGATAAAACCATTGCTATTCTTACTAAGGTCCCATTAGAAGGGTCACTCCAGGGTCAAAGCTCTCCAAACTGGCCTTCACAGCAGAGTTATCACAGATCCCTAGGAACGATCCCCCACACCTCTGTCTTTCATAGTTGTTGCTCCCGGGGAACAGCCTTGACAGACAAAGAAACTACAAGTGACTTGTAGATTAGCGTCCAAAAAACACCACACAGAAGTAACCGAGGGGCTGGAGAAATGACTCTGGGCTTAGAGTCTCCCTGCTCTCACAGAGGACCTGAGTTTGCTTCCCAGCATCCACATAACAGCTCACAACTACCTGAAACTCCAGTTCCAGTGGATCCAACACCCTCTTCTGGAGGGCACCAGGCATGCATGTGGTGCACAGACATACATGCAGGCACAACACTCATGCACATGAAATAAATGACAATGAAGTTATTCAGCACCAAGCGGTCATCCCTAAAATTGCTTAGGAGCATTATGAAGTGGACCCAGTAGACTGTATGTATACATTTACACACATAAATGTAACAATAGAAATGAAAGAAAACGAGGCTCTGAATTTGAGAGGGAGTTGGGGGACATGAGAGGAGTCGGAGGGGAAATAAAGTAAATATGGCACTCATATATGAAATCCTCAAAACATATGAAATTATAAAAATTGCAATGCAACTAATCATTAAAAAGATTTAAAATATTAAAATCTTACCCAGTGAGTTCTGTCATCAGTTCCTCATTTTTATCCATCTGTTTTGCCAAAGTACATTCTAGAGACTGTGTTTGCTTAATGAGTTTCTTTGTTTCATCTCCAAGCTTTAAAAAATTATAAAAATATTTAAAAATATCAAGAGTCATTCTTCTCTTTTTTTAAGAGTTGGAAATTACTTTTTTATTTGTGAAATACAGAAATTTGACTGAATAGGGCCTTAAAAGGGTACTTAGTATATCTAGTGTATAGCCTTAGCAAAATATAAAATCAAAGGAAGAATAAAAGAACCAGAAAAATAACAAAACAGCAAAACAAAACCTAAATTTATTCAAACCCCAAAACAAACCAAAACTATTTACACTAGGAAAGAAGCATTCTCATCATGCAGAGTTAGAGCGATGTCCTACACCCTGTGGCTGGCTTTGGACATAAGTTGAAAGACAACCCTGAATTGAAATACCCTCTTCAAGACAAGTGTAGTCATGCCACTTTGGGGCTTTTAGGTTAAGCCCTTGCCACAGTTGATCTTATGCCATGATGGCCACTATATAATTCTGTCACCCAAAATGTGTCTGTGTGCAGATTCAAGACCAAAAAAGAACATGGGGGAACATCTGCTACTCAAAGACATAAAAGTTCGTGGTGGCATCCATGTAATCCTAAGTAATTTCTCAGAACAATTCACTTCAACATCACATGTACATGAAATTGAGTAGCTCCAGCACTGGACTGGACTGGAGAATACGATGCTTCCTCCATGTGGTCTGTCTGGATAGCAGCATGACAACAACACAGTCTCCGTTGACATATCTCCCTCCACATATGAAGGGCCAAGGACTCAGTCAGCTAACAAAAGTCTGTAGCACTAAAGTTTCAGAGCAACTAGGAGCAGAAACATATTCTCTCTCCATGTTGTTGTGGCCCTCACTGGGACCACTTGCTGGTAGAGATCAGCTTTTTATGCATAATTCTTGGTGTTTATTTTTTTGAATTTCAAGCATCTTCTTGATGGTTTCTTTATTTCATAACTAGTGAGTCAACAGACACATGGATCAGATTATGGATGGACCACCCGCAGGGCAGATGATATTTGCCTCACTGGTGATTTTACAACTAGTTGTACATGTCTTGTTTTGAGGAGGCCTTGATCATAGAGTGGAAAATGTCAGGTGTTCTGGTTGACTATGGATTCCTTCAGCCCTCTCAGTTCTCATAAAGGGTGTTGCTTATGACACTTAGTGCTCCTGCTGCAGCAGCTCTGTCCGCAGGAGGCTCTCATCCTGAGCTGTGGACTGTTCCAGCTCATGTTGGAGTTTTTCTGACCTCATCTGGGAGACAGTCAAATGATGCTGCAGCTTTATTGCCAAGTGTTTTTGCTGTGTGACCAGCTCCCTCTGCTTCAGCAAGCTCTGAAGTCTCTCCTCCATTCGTTGCTGCTCCTGCTGTTGCTGGTTCTGGAGGCCACTGGTCTCTTCTTGGTCCTTACTGAGCACTTTCAAGTCACCCAAGTGGTGCTTCAGCAGGACCCACCCAATCCTCCAGTAGTTTTTTCTTCTCTTGCCCCAGAATGTCCAACTTCTTCTTCAGCTAACTCTGATCCATCAGGAGCTGGCTCTGCAGATCACAAAGGAAGACTTTCTCCTTGGTCAGCTCTCTGAGCTTCTGTGCGGCCTCCATATTCTCATTCTCAAAATTCTGCAGGTCTGATATGACCTGCTGATGTTCCATCTTGAGCATTTCACAGAAAGGATTTGGCCTGTGGTATGGCCTGTTGTCCAAGGATCCTTCAGTTACTACATTCTTCTATTCTAAAATCATTTCTTATAAGCTTATGGCTTATAAGTATATAAGCCATATAAGTGGCTTTAATCATAAGATTTAATCTTAAATCTTATGGCCATATAAGTAATATGGCATTTGTACAACTTTGTAGCATTCCACTTAGGATCAAAAAGTAACTCCTTAAAACCAACTCTCATTTATTTATATATTAATATTTAATTTTGAAGAAATTTATTATTTTTTGTTTGTGCCCCACCTCTATGTGTGTGTGTATGTGTATGTGTACATGCCACATGTGTGCAGGTGCCAATTGAGGTCAAAAGAGGGTGTCAGATATACTGGAGCTGGAGTTACAGATGTTTGTGAGCCACCAGATGCGGTGCTGGGCACTGAATTTGGATCCTATGGAAGAGCAGCCAGTGTGTTAACTGATGAGCCATCTCTCAGGCCCCCTCATCATTAATTTATAGTCCTTTAATTTGTTGAATCATTCTCACCTGATTTTAGAATGAGAAAAAAATATTCATTCTCTTGGGAGAATTCTCCTGGGAGTTTGAAATTTTCTTCTCCACTTACTATTTTTCTTTTAGGAGTGTCTCCCCACTAACGCCACAAAGCATAACCCATGCCCGATTCTTCTGGATTCCCTGCCATCCTGATTAAGCCCTCTCAGTGGGCTCCAATATTCCTTAACACACACAGCTCATCTAAAAATCTCTTTTTGCCACCTAGTACTTTCTATTAACTTAAAATCTGATTTTAAAAAGGATTTATTCTGTTTTATGTGCATGTGTGAGAGCCTGCATGTATGTACACGTGTACCTGGTGCATATGGAAGCCAGACAAGGCCATCAGTCCCCCTGGAACTGGAGTTATAGATGACCGTGAGTCACCATGTGGGTGCTGGGAATGGAACCTGGGTCCTCTGCCAGAGCAATGCATGCTGAGACATCTCTCCAACCTCTTTTTTTTTTTTTTTTAAGGTTTACTTATTATGTATACAGTGAGTGTTCAGCCTACAGGCCAGAAGAGGGCACCAGATCTCATTGTAGATGGCTGTGAGCCACCATGTGGTTGCTGGGAATTGAACTCAGGTCCTCTGGAAGAAGAGCCAGTGTTCTTAACCTCTGAGCCATCTCTCCAGCCTCTCCAACCTCTTAAAATCTAAGATTTAATCTTAAAATTCATTAACAAAATACAGAGTGACAGGGACATTTGGAGTCCTCACCATGTTTTCTGTCTTGTGAGCAAATTCTAAAGATGCACGTACTTCTCCATAGGCAGCTTGAGCCCCACTTCCTTCATGAAGGCGGAAGCCCTGCTGTTTCTTTCCTCTGGTAAGTCACCGGCTTCTTCCAGAGGTCCCCGAGGCCTCCTTAGGTCACAGAGTCCACAGTTCCAGTCTTGGCCTATTATTGAGGTCACTCTTTCATTTATATCTTCCTTCTAGTTCAGTTCTTATGGATTACCACCCATCATCCATCGCTGAATGGATGGTAATGGAGCGAATTTCCTGTGGATTTTGATTGGTGCTCCTTTGAAAGTCCCATGACTTTTCCACGCGCATATCACTGGTTGTTTCCCTCTCTTTTCCTTTGCTACACTGACAACCTTGGTTAATATTGTTCTAAAATATTGTTCTGAAAGTCCCTTTCAGATGGAGACTCAACTATATTGTGGAGGCTTGGGTGAGCCAGAGCTCCATTTTCTACCCACCTCAGACATTTTGCACAAAACTGTAAAATTGTATATGTAAGATACCTCAGCTCTGATGATCTCTGGCATATTGAGAATATTCTGGAGAAGTTACTGATGGAGCTGGGGGATAAAAAGCTCATTTATTTTTTGAGTCAGAGTGGGCCTCGAGTGGCTGCTATTTCTATGCCTTATTCCTTATTCATTCTGGGGGGAACCTGTAAAATATGCCTCATTCTTCTTTTAAGATTTATTTTATTTTATGTGCACAAATGCCTTGCCTGAATGCATATATGTGCACCATGTGCATGCCTGGTGTCCCTGGAGGTCAGAGATGGCATCAGATCCCCTGGAGCTGGATTTACAGGCAGCTTTGAGCCCTCATGTGGGTGCCGGGAGTGGAAACTGGGTCCTCTGCAAGAGCACCAAGTGTTTTAACCTCCAAGCCGTCTGTCTAGCCCCTGCCTCCTTCTTTCTGAATAAGCTAAATAGGTTTGGAATCCTGCCATACAGCTCTCAAGCTTTACTATTTCAAGTCAGTACACTTCTGTATGATACTTAGTAAAAGGATGTCCTTGGCATTCTCACACGCGGAGGGCGCTTCAACACATTCTTCTTTCTGTCATGTGTGAAGGATCAAAGTAACACGGGGCCGATTTCTAAGGAATCTAGAATTCCTTTTCCGTGCTCCTTCATGGTGTGGAGGAGACTTAGAGCTCTGTTTCTGTGCAGTCTGTCACCAGCAATGGAGCCGCACAGCGCCTGCTTTTGAGAGTTAACAGGTTCCGGGGGCAGCCATGTCCTGGCTCCAGGTGGGTGGGTGTTCACGATGTAGACATCTGACTGTGATGTCTGGAATGCAGTGTGAGAATCAGGAGACTTCTGTTCTGTCTGGGGAGGAGCCGAGCTTTCACTATCCATCATTAAAGTGGAATCCTAAGCTGTTGTTTCCTCTGAGAGCAGAGGAGGCATTCTGTTTTCTCTGAGCAGGACAGGAGCGTCTCTGGATTTGGAAGTGGGCTCCACCACGAAGCTTCTTTGGTTCATCTTCCTTCCTTGTCCCTTCTGGGTTCTGTGTAGAGAGCACAAAGGCCTTGAGCACACAGACGAGCGCTGGAGAAGCCGGAGAGTTGAACACACTGTTCACCTCTTCGATGGACTGAGGTGTGCAGCTGCCCTTCCTCGAGGTCGTTTTAAAACCTGGTGATCCTCTGCTGTGTGATGGGACAGGCTCTGCCCGGATCTCCCAGAATTCATGGTTTTACTTATCTCACTAAATCCTGAGCACTGCTTTTAGGCCATAAACCCACTCTTAGGAGTGAGGTCACTTGTGCTTTACAGCAGCCTAAGTGACTTCTGTGTCATCTTAGGGCCAGGCCAAGCCTGACACCACAGGCGTTATGTTTACCTCAGTCAAGCTCCCTGGACCCTAAATCTTGGGCACTATCTGAGTCAACAGTATCCATACTTGTAAGAGGAACCAGATGTACTTTGTAAGGAATCTCAATGTAAACATGTCTTAAATTGTGCACTTGGGACTGAGTTAATTGTTATCTGAATACTTTTTTCCAAACGTGTGCTGTGCTTAAATATGGCTAACGTAAACTGATCTGGGCCAGACTTTAGAAGTCCTGGTCCAGCGCTGGTTACGGTACAATTGGGCTGAGCCGAGTTTCATTCTTGTCTCTTTTTTTTTTTTTTTTTTTTTTTTTGTTTTTTGGTTTTTCGAGAC